CAGCTGTGGGGTCAATGCCGTAAAAGTAAAAATACTGCATTTTATCCAGCTAGGTGAGGAACTGCATCACTTGGAAAACTGCAGTTTTCCAAGTCCTTCAGGTTGGATTAAGTGAATGGGAATTTAAGGCCCAGGAGTCCTGTTGGGGATTTCCAGTCAGGTTTCCCCCTCGGCAGCTGTTGGCTGGGATCAGCATATGGCAAAGAAGATGAGTACGTGGTGCAAGAAAACCCGTGTTGGATAAAACCGGAGATTCTGGCTCTGAAACCCGTCCTGTGCTCCTGGCTGGCTACTGCTGCTTCCATTGCAATCCCTAAGGAAAACATTTTGGAAGTCGGTGGGGAAATTAAAAGCTAACCTGCTGGTAGCAGGTAGCATAACTGGATGTGGAATGTTTTTTCCCTGTGCTGTTTTCTGCTCCAGGGTTGCTCTTCTTTGAAACACAAGGACGCGGTTTGTGCTGTGCAGGGGAGAGGTGGCCGCAGAAGTGGCTGCTTGAAGCCCTCCTGGTTTGAGCCCAGGCAGCTGCTAGAGCTGGCGGTTCCTTGGCCAGCAGGTGATGTTTGGTGAGAAAAACCGGAGCGTTGTGTGAGTTCCTTGGTTTGCTGTGAAGCCTGGGAGGAACGGGAAGGATTCGTGTATGTGGATGGCAGGTTTCCCTGCTCGCATGCCCCGAATTGGGGGATTTTCTCAGCGCTGCCTGACGGAACTGCTGTATCCTGGCCCTGCTCTCTGCAGAAAACTGGTCCCCTCCTCGAGGAGCCTTTTTGGCTAATGAAGGGGCCCTTCACTAGCCCTTTTTGGGCTCGGTGATCTTACCCTCTATCTTGCATAAATAGAGCGTGGAGAGCAGCAGGTTTCTCAAGCAGCTGCTCAACTCCTTCCTCGAGCCGTGCCAGGTAACTTCGTGTCCCGGGTCCAGGCTTTTCAGCCCGGAGCTACGGAGCACCCAAGGAGACCCCTGCGGATCCCGGCGCCGCTTCTCCTGCAGGGACGGCCGGGTGAAGCCGGCGGCGCGGGAGGGAAGAGAGGAGGCTGCCCGGCCCTTGGCTCTGACCTCGGGGATTACTTAAGGAAGCCTTGTCCCTCGGTCACCCCCGGCGGCTGCGCCCGGGATAAGCTGGTTAAGAGCTCCAGGTAGGTGGTGGCGATGCTGCGTGGAGGCACCGGGGATGAAGGATGCCCTGCCTCCTCCTCCCCCCGGGCCTGGGGTCTGCGCGGTGCCGCTCTTTGCTTCCCGTCCTGCGGAGATGAGGAAATCGGAGCCTCTCCCTTCCCCGGCTTTATCGACTCAGCCCGCGAGGCTGCGGTTTCATGTTGGGATTAAACAGTTACCTGGGAGTCCGCGGTGGCAGCTGGCTCGTGGAAGTGGCGGAAAAGGGAACCCAGCCAGGAAGGACAGTTTGAATCCGCGTTTTTGGTTCTGCCGGAGACGCCGGCTCTGCTCTGCAGCCCGGAGCGATTCCCCTCGGCCCTTCAATGAGAAGGGCTGGCAGGAGGTTTCCAAACGCTGCTGGAGCGGCGCTGGGAGGAGACGAATAAACCACCTTTGAAACTACCAGCTCGAGAACCTTTGGAATGTCCCTTCCCTGACCTGCCCAAGGAGCATCCACAAAAGCGGGAACCGCCGTGCTCAGATTTCCGTCTTCCTGGCACCGGACTCCGCTCGGCGACGGCGATACAAGACGTGCGCCTTGAGGAGCCAGAGGAAACGGTGAGAGCCGCTCGCTGACTCCCAGGGCCAATTTTGCTGTTGCCTCGAGCTCGCGTGTCCCGAGCGGAGATTTTCAGCAGGCCGAGCGCGGCACTCGCGATGGGAAGGGCAGCGGGAAGCAGGGAATCGCGACGGCTCCGCTCCCGCTGGAACCAACTTCTGGGGAAAGATTTGTGTCCGGAGGAGCTAATCCGTAAGCTGCCGCGTTTCCAGCGCCGGGATGGAGAACCTGCTGTTTTCCTGCCAGAGCGCCCAGATGTTTGGATCATCTGGGAGTGCAGAAGGTGACTTGGCAAATGCTGCCAAGCTCCAGAAATATTTTTGGGAGAAAAATCACAGCCTCTGGCCACCAGAAAAGCCTATTTTCATTCCAGAAATCTTCTCATTTTTAGTGCTCTAAGATGAGGGAGCAAATGATACCAAAACGGCTCGTGCCGCTCGTACGGGAGCGGAGTGCAGGTGATGGGCAGGGTCTTCTCCCCAAGGAAAACGCCCACCCAGAGCATCTTCATTCCCTGCCTGGGAGGTGCTAGCCAAGTCCCCTCGTGGCCTGCGCTCCGGTGGCACGGATGCATTTAGGAAAGTAGCAGCAGGATCATCAAGAGCATCGGAGGCGGCCGAGCAGGAGAGGCCTCTTGAAGCCGAATGGGTCCCGCTCAGGTTCCTAAGCGTTGTTTTTCCCCCGCGTCTCAATGGGAGTTTTAATTAACACCAACACATACAACCATAAATAACACTCCTAAAACCAAACGGATTTCTGAGGCTCTGTTGGCACGGAGCCAATCCTGGGATTCCCCAGGATGCTGTCGCCTCTCCAGAGAGGTAACACCACAAATTTCTACCTGAAGGGACTTGATGAAACCTATTGACTTTTCTATCGCCGCAGAGCCCACTTAATGCAAGAGTAAAATACGAATAAAAAGCATTTTTCATTGAAATTCATTGAGTTAGTTGAAAGTGTGACATAATCTGGGATAAGTGATGTAGCTGCTTGCTACGGGGAGCCGGTGCTTTCCTAAAAGTCTAAAATAACCTGTAATTTGGGAGTATTTCACATTAGTGTTCAGTGCACGTAGAGCAAGTCCAAGGACGAAGCTTGCGTGAGCGCTGGATGATCCCCTTCAAATTTTGGTTTTATAAATGGCAACAAAAAATACTGTTTTGCAAATGGCAACTCAGTGGCAAACGTTGACTCTTGCTCGGGTGGTCTTGGGCAGCGTCGCCCCCCAGAAACCCCAGGATTACCCCTTCGAAAACCTCTCTTATTCTGCTTTTGTCGCGATCTTACGGGTTTTCTTAAAGCACTTGACTCGCTAGAAAATGGTTGTTGCTGAAAATGAGCTTAGGTGAGAAGCACCGGTTTAGGCAAAATGATTCCTTTTGGGGTGAAAATACAAGGTTTTTTTGTCCTATTTGCTCGGAAACAGCAGGATGGCAGCGAGACCTGCACCAGCAGGGCCTGTTTTACATCGATTCTGGGCTCCCCGTGGCCTAAAAGCGCTCAAGCTCTTGCAGTGCTGCAGCTTTGTGGCTGTGTTAGAGCTAGAACAAGGGGAAATTCCCGCCGGGAATCGAGTCCTCGCTGTTCCGCAGCGCCTCTGCGTGCGCCGGCTCACGGTTCCGGTGGGGAATTTTTTCCCGGTCGCTTTGGAGCAGTCTCGTCTTCATGATTGTCTAATTAAAATGCAGCATCCCGCTTTTATGGCAGCTTTGGGGTTGTGGAAAAATGGTGGTTTTTGCTGGCAAACGCTGCGCTCCCTCTCCCTGCCTCCCTTCTCCCGCTGCATCTTTAATCGTTCCCGAAATCCCCCGGCTGTGAGCGCCGTCGCAGCCGGATGGGGACGAGGTGGAAGCGCCAGCGTGACCGAGCCCGCTCGGATCCTGCTGCCGGAAGCATCTTGCCTTCCTCGAGCGCCCCGGCCTCTTCCCCGCCGTGCTGGAAGCTGCTGGGAAAGCAGCCTGAGCTTTGGGGTTGGTTTTTCCTGCAATTTTCGTGCCTTTTGGTGCCCTTTTCCTTAACCCTTGTGTTGCAGCCTGCCGCGAGGCCCCGTGCAGCAGCCCCTCGAGGAGCGGATCTTCACGCCGACCGTCTCCGCCGTGTACAGCACTGTGAGTATCCACAAAGACAGCCAAAAACCCCCCCACTGTCCAACACCTCCATTTGCCCCCCAAAAACTTGTGATTTTGGTTGCGTACGAACACACCGTCATGCGGAACGGGGCAGCTCGTGCTGCAACAGGTTGCTGCACAACTTGGAGCGTCTCCTCGGCGAAGCCGGCTGGGATTTGCCGTGTTCCGACCGCTCCGTTTGGCGCCGTGGAGCGGAGGGGACGCCCGGGCATTCAGGGAGGTGCTGCTGGCCCCCAGGCCTGTGTGTTTGTTCATAAAGCTTCAGGAGCGAGGAAATGGCACCTAGAAATGGAGCAGTGTTTATTTGTGAGCGCCCGATACCCTTCTGGTTTTATTCCTAGCTTTTTTCCCCCACTTTTTTTATTTTTTATCCCAAATAGCAGTAGTTGGAAGCACAGTAGTATTCATACACTCTGCTAAATCAGCACAGCCCTGGGAAAGTAATATTGTGCTTTTCTGGTGCAATAGTGCAAATAGTTTTAGTGCCAAAAGAAAAAATTAAGCTGTGCTTTTAATTATTTGGAAAACAGGAAGGAAAGCTGTGGGTGCGAGAAATTCCCTGTATTTTAGACAGGAGCAGAAGCTGCTTATAGAAAAACATAAGCTGCTGCATGAGGTTGTCTCCTCCCCATGTGCATGAGTAACGTGCAGCGCATACGGACGGACACGTATGGAAAACCAGTGCCGAAGGACAGGGATTTACAGAGGGGCCGAGGAAGTCACTGAGTTTCTATCCTCCTCTCCATCCCCCCTGCAGCACTTAAAGGCCACTTTAAGAATATTAGTATGCCTTTTTTGGGGGGGGGCGGGGGGGTGGGGGGAAGGTTTATTTTTCATCTTTTTTTTTCTTGGAAAGACATAATTGAGCTGCCTCTGGGAAAATATGACTGCAGAAATTTAAATGAATGTAAAATGTAACGGGAACTGTGAAGAATGACCTTAAATAGCTTTTCAGTGTGGAAAAAAATACCACTCTTTGATACGTGACAAGAATAGATGCCGGGGCAGGGAGTATCCGTGTTGGAGGCTTTAGGAAAACACAGGTTTGCAAGGAAACTTGGCCTTTTAGGGAAAAGGGAGGGATTTTCCCTGCTTTGCCTTTGGCAAATTGCAGTTTTTGAGTGAGTCCTGGAGAAGACAGATTAGGATGGAAGCTTCGTGATCAGAGAACAAACCCGTCCCCTTGGTCCCTGCAGTGAGTACCGGGGTGCCAGTGCTGCCTCTTTGAGGGCTGGACTTGCCACAGATGCTTCTTTCTTTTATTTATGGATGTTTTATATGTGTTTTATATAGAGTTTATCTAGCTTTGCAGACACACACGTGCTGCAGAGGTGCGAGGGCATCGCTGGACGCCCCGAGGCTGCTTTTCACTCCCGTGTCCGATTCCCACAGTCGTCTCCCGTGGGTTCCCACACGGAGGATGTGGCACGGCTTTTCCCTACGTATATTTTGGGAGAGCCCTTAGGAAAAGCCCTGTGGTCTCATACGGTGCACGACTTGGGTGCTTCTGTTTTTATGTTTCGCTGAGAACTAACCTGTTGCTCGATACCCTTCGTTCTGTGGGAAATGTGGATATTTAGTAGTTGTCTTCTGAAACAAATCCTCCCGCAGAGTTATTTTAAAGCAAATCAGGCTCAGGAACAGTCTGATTACTTCATCTTCCCCCTCTGAAATAGTCTGATTATTTCATCTTCAATGAAATAATCTTTTAATAATTTCCCTGTCAGTAATGGAAAACAGCCTATTTGGACACAGAGATGTAGGGTTTCTTTCTGTAAGTGCTCACTGCCTCTATACAGCAAGAAATTATTTAAGGCCTTTATTTCTGCTATAACATCCAAACCCTGCAGCGTCTCGAAGGGGGAATCCGGTTTCTATGCTAGAATACTTTCGGATCCAGGCAAGCTCAGCACGTTTGGGGTCCCCGGCCGCGCGGGCCGCTCGGGGCCGTGGGTCTGTGGCTCTGCCGGGGCCGGCTCGGCCGCATTCCCGTTGGATCCGGGGGGTGCGTCGAGTGGCGGGAGCCGACGGCAGCGCTGGGGAACTGGGATGCGGAGGGACCCACTTCTCCGGCGGCTCCGGTCGGGAGCCTCGCGGCGAGCTCCCCGTGGGTGCCGGACCACGCGGCCGGGGGATTAGCCGCTGCGGCCCCTGCGCTCCAGCTGGAGAGGTGGGTCAGGAGGCCGCTGCCTCCGGGAGCCCTTTGCGCCAGGCCGAGGGCGTCGGGAGCATCCGAAGGGGAGACGTCGCCGCTTCCCGCTGCTCGCGCAGGGAAGAGCCGGGCGCTGGAGCACACTGACGGCCCTGTGTTCACCGTGCAGAAATGTGTTGGCTGCTCAGGAGACTCCTTTCCTCGCTGGGATAACCCCGCTTGTGTCCCGGGCATCATGGGATGAATCCAAAGCCGCGGCCTTTGGGGCCCGGCGCCGTGAGCTCAGCGAGCGTCTCCGTTTCTCACCGTGCAGCGAGCACAGCCATGGAGCAATTCCTCTTTCCTTAGCGCTCGTCTCCATCCAAATCCGTAAGCTCCCCTCACGCCTCCGTGCGCCGGCACCTTCCCGGATAGGCGATAACGGAATTATTCCGAGCGATGTTGGCAGGCGGGGAGTGCTCCGTGTTCAGCTCGGCGCCTTCCCAAAGCCGGGCCTGCGCTTGTGCTCTTCTCCGTGGAAGGGAAGAACCCGGCTCCACTCCGAGGCTTTTCTAGCTGGGAAACCCCAAACACGCGGATCTGCACGGGCCGATCATCCTTGCGTGTCCCCCAAGCAGGGATTGGGGGGTTCCTCATGGGAAACTCCGCTCGATCCTGGTGGGCTCCATTCGCTCCGAGGCTTTTCTAGCTGGGAAACCCCAAACACGCGGATCTGCAGGGGCCGATCATCCTTGCGTGTCCCCCGAGCAGGGATTGGGGGGTTCGTCCTGGGAAACTCCGCTCGATCCTGGTGCGCTCCATTTGGATGTTGTCCGAGCTACTCGTGGAGCTACCACCGCAGGGCAATTTTATGCCCGTCTCATTATCCGAGCTTTCCAGCAGATTTTAGGAGATCTAGATCCATCTCCACAACCCATCGGGTCCTTGCGTAACTCAGCAGCAGCCAGCACCTTCCGCGGACCATCGTTCCCGCCACAGCTCTCCTTGTTTCCCACATTTCCTTCCCGGGAAGTCTCTCCCTTCCATCCTTAACCCTGACCGGAATTCCTTGCAGTTATAATTTCCATTTCACTTGTGAAATGCCGGTCGCATGGATAAACCCTGGCACCACGTTACCCTCTGGGCTCCGCTGTCCGAGGTGACGCAGCGAGAGGCGTCCGCGACGGGAGCAGAAGGGCTCGGGACAGCTCTTAGTCCTGAACTATATAGAGATTTTCCCCCTTTGATTTCCCCTTTCTCATTATAGTGTCTGTGGAATCAGTCTATTAGCCCCTGGCAGCGCAAGGCCACGTTTTCCCACCTTTCGCTTCATGTGTCGTGCTGGCCGTTTTCCCTGGAAGCCGAGGAAGCGGATAAAGTCACCCCGGATTGCTCTGTGCTCCGTTCTGTGCCGATGGGCCGGCCCTGGTCTGTGCCACCTTCAGGAGGGCAGGATGCCGTTTTTCCGCCCGCTTTGTCCTCTTGGGTCCCTTGGAGAACCGCCGCGGGATTCGCTCCGGAGCTGCTCCCAAGGCTGGGAGC